TCCTTCGCTCCTCCATTTTACTCATCATCTCCTGTGTAACCCTTGGTTTTCTTGCTATCTTCTCAACTTTACCGACCAAATCACTGATAGTATCTAACATGCATTCTTTTATATCATTCCACTGCGCTTCAGCATTTCCGCTTTCACCTTCAATTGCACCGAGTTTCTCTTCTAGGTAATTTAAATAAAATTGTATTAATTCAAGTTTTATAGTAAGTTATTATTAAGCGGCCTCCGTAGTCTAGAGGTAACGTTCCCACCTCATGACTCGTGGTATGCGGGTTCAAACCCAGCGGAGGTAGTGGAATTTTTAAGGGTGGAAATNGGTATAGAGACTGGTAGAATATCATAGAGGGAAGCACAATGGACCAACACTGGTCTAAGTGCATGGGGAAACCCACCCTCTCCAATAACTAACTAACTAACTAACTAAGTTATTATTAAATTAGCTTATTAAATTTTTTATTTAATATTATTATTTATGTTAATCGATTAATGTAAGTGATTTTGATTATGTGACTCGTGTAATTTTGTATATCTATTTTCAAAGGGACCATTTCCACACCCTAGGTTTGTTACCTGTATGGATATATGGAAAATAAAGGAAATGAATGAATGAATGAACACCATGTAGTCTGGAAAGACCCCAGTGTTTTGAGCAATTTGTTCCACCTTCAGGATCAAAGAATAACCAGGCTGGCTGTTTCTTGCTTGTTTCATTCTACAACCCTGAAGATGGAGACAATAAGTTTGTCTGAAATGTCATGCCCTCTCCACACAATGTAGCAGTGTGACCCAGGAGACTGTACTATTCACTGATGGTTGCTGTTTACAAAGTTGATTTTGTTTGCAGTGTTTGGAGAATGTGGAGGGTCGTCAGTGTGATCGCTGCAAGGAGAACAAGTACGACCGGCAACGTGGCTGTGTGGATTGTCCTGCCTGCTACAACCTGGTGCAGAGTGCTGCCAATGACCATCGAGCCAGACTTAGCGAACTGGAGAAAGTGCTGCATGATATAGCCAGTAACCCGACCGTCATCAGTGACCAGGACTTTGAGAAGAAGTTGAAGGATGTCCAGGGAATTGTGGAGGAGCTGTGGAATGAGGCCAGGCATGGAGCGGGAGGTATGACATATAGATGTGTGTCAGATGGTAGGGTGACCTCATGAAATGGTGACTGGCAAAGGATTTAGAAGGAAGTGCTTGTGGCCTAATTGAGATACTGATGACAACCTCAAAATAATTCAGTCAGAATAGCCAGTGTCCCATCTAGGATTTGAACCAAGCACCTTTGGAACACACGTGTAGAGTGTTAGCTCCAGCCCAGGCTACTCTGTCCTGGAATGAGAGCATCTGCTGATATACAGTGAACGGCTCAGTTCATGTACGAGTGGACCATAAATCTTAAGAATAAAATTTAAGATGACTATGTTCCTGGACGTGACACTGTAAATCATTTTCAGCATCTTGCAGGCATGTTAGTAATGATCTACAGACTATATGGTGTGTCACATCACAGAATATTGTAACTGTCATGGTCAAATATGAGAACCTGAGGTCCTTCAAGTGTGAAATTGCTGAGTCTGCATGAGGATAAAGTACTGTATGTAGCAGTAATCTATAAGTGCTTGAGGGACCTTTATTCTAGAGTACAGGACGGCAGGAAGTGTCAGAACCGTGCAGGAACTGAGGTTCTCACAGCAGTGGTTATGAAGAGTTCTATCTTCTGGGATATAGCGCCGTATAGGGTCTGAGGTTCTCACATCGGTGGTTATGAAGAGTTCTATCTTCTGGGATATAGCACTGTGTAGCCCGTTGAAAGTCAACTGATGTTCTGGAAGAAAATATCGCCTCCATCGTTGGGGTTGGAGAATGATGGATTTGACATATTCCTGTGAAACATCAGTTGACTTTCAACAGACTACACAGCGCTATAGCCCAGAAGACAGAACTCTTCATAACCACCGATGTGAGAACCTCAGACCCTACACAGAGCTATATCCCAGAAGATAGAAGTCTTCAGTGTCAGAACCCCTTCTTGTGCACATTGATGTACACCAACCCTGTCAGTTGAGGACCAATTCCATATTGCTCTTGTGGTGATGTTTCCAGGTGAAGACAAAAGCCTGCTGGAGAGGCTGGAAGAGTTACAGAGGCGTTTTGATGCAGTGGGTGAACTTACCGACCAGACTAATCAGCTAACCGATAAAGCATTGTTCAGCACTGCACAGGGGATTGGGAATGTCACACAGGCAGAGGAGACTATTGAGAAAGCTTTTGAGTCTTTCAAAGTAAGTTGCAATATCTGGTGCATGGAATAGACTCAGTTACTTTACTGATTGGTTCTACAGACCTGTAAGAATCTTGATCTGTTTTATGAAAGAGTCCTTTTCTTCTGTTTGCCTCTCATCTGTTCTCTTTCATCTCAAAATCATTCTCTGTGCTTCGTGGGTGTCTCAGTATTTGGGCTTCCCATTGTTTAGGCCGTGCCATAGCTCAAGTGGTTAGTTCCTGGTTTCCCACTGCGGTAGCCTGGGTTCAATCCCGGGTCTGGTCAAGCGGGATTTGTGGTGGACAAAGTGGCACTGGGGCAGGATTTCTCCGAGTACTTCGGTTTCCCCTGTCAGTCTTCATTCCACCAAATTCTCCATCATCATAATCACCTGGGGCAGGTGCAGTAGGCCAATAAGTGGCTGCCGTGCCGAGTGGACCCAATCGGACTCCACCCCTCACTAGGCAAATTAATTAAATTCCCATTGTTTTCTACTTTCTGGTGGCATTTCTAGGAACTTTCCTAATGCTCCTGGCATGCAAAAACTGAGCACATTTGAAGCATTGTCCAGATAATACTTGCTTAGTTATTTCCCTGGATTATTCACCCAGCATTGGTTATGTTTCTAATATATGTTCCTTAACAAGGTAAGGTTATTAGCCTCATATCCAGTCACCGTTATGGAGGAAGAAGGGTGCCACCAACATAGGTGTCTGATTGGGGCATGTTAACCTCACTGTTAACGTTAAGGCAGCAGCCCAGGTGGGAGGTGATGGTCACTTACTCATAAAATTATTTAACATTTTATGGAAGATTCTGCCATCCGACTGGATCCTGAGCCGGGTGAACCGAGGCGCACACTCGTACTGTTTGTGTGTAAGATGCATTTTAATATTATCCTCTCATCCATGCTTTGGATTCCAGTAATCTTTTAAGGCTTTAAAAAATTACCATATACATTCCTCATGTCCTCCTGTGTGCTACATTCCGAGAGAATCTCGATAATGTTGTGGAATGCGTGGAGCTATCCACCTACCTAGTTTCATGCAGCGGAACATTCCTTGCCGCTGTGCTGGGGATGACAGTAGAGACTGATAACAGGGCTGCTGACACACCTGTACATAGAGACTACACCTGCATGTTATTGGCCCATCAGATGAAGCTACTCATAGGAAATGTGAACAGAATGAAGAATTCTCCTGCCATACACTTTGTAAATGCCAGGCATGGAGCAGAGGTCAGCACTGCATCGTTAATGCCGATAGATGTCAGGAGGGTTGCAGTCTGGGCGTCGAGGATATGACGCTTTGAGACTGCAGGTACACTGTGGAGTGGTCTGAGTGCTTGGGGCAGGTGTAAGTTGCCCCACCCTCATGTTCAGTATGAAGTACAAAATGGTGGATATGGTAAACCTGTGATGCTAAGAGCCAGAACTTCATATTGCAACAGTTTTGCTCAACAGGCAACACGGTCCAACATACAATAATAGAGGAAGCTGTATTTTCTGTAGATGCACCAATATACTGCCTGGATAGCGATCCCATGGTATGTGTTTACTGGTGGTCGATATCTGTTCTGTGGCTATATAATGAGAGCTGTGAGCTGTAAGTTGAGAGAGCGAATTGGAACTGGGCGTGCAGAAGAGTACAAGAAGTCAGCCTGTGAAGATCTAACGTGTGCTTTGAAGACTTTATGTGTGTTGTAGGATAGTGAAATTGGGAGTGCATGATTTAGTGAGGCTTTTATAGCTCCTGTGTTATAAATCCGTGAAGACTAGTGCGGATAGAATGAAGAGATTAGTGTGGACTGATTGTAAATTGTGTAAACCAGCAATAATGTAATAATTAATTGTAGTTATGACCTGTAGTTTGTTTATAAATCCAATTACAAATCTGAATCCTGACTTTAGTCACTGTGTCACATGACAATATGAAAAATCTAATATATGAATACAGATTTCACTCTGAGACTTCAGGTTTGCATGGAGGTCAAGTGTAAAGATCAGTGTTTCCTGGAATGCTGTGCCGTGTAGTCCATTAGATATTTACCAATATTATCTTGGCAGGTAGAGGTGGCAGGTTCTTCCAAAACTTTGATGATGATCTACAAGATTATGTGGCACCAAATCCCAGAAGATAGTAATCATCAGATCTCATGATGTAGTTACTGTTGTATATAAGAACTATTTGCTGTACTTAACATACTCATGATGAAATCACGCCATCCTTTGTTGAAAGAACACAAAGTTCAGGTTTCAAGATTCACTTAGTGGGGGGTGGAGTCCAGCTGGGTCCACTCGGTATGGCGGCCACTGATTGGCCTATTATACCTGGCCCGGGTGATTATTATGGTGGAGAATCTGGTGGAATGAAGATTTGCAGGTGAAACCGAAGTACTCTGAGAAAACCCGCCCCAGCGCCACTTTGTCCGCCACAAGTCCCACTTAACCAGACCCAGGATCGAACCTGGGCCGACATGGTGGGAAGCCAGCGACTAACTGCTTGAGCTATGGCATGGCCTTACAGGTTTCAAGATGCTCTTATAAATTAACATTTTTCATGAAAATTATGACAGCTGACTGTTGCTGGCAGAATTAGTACTACCTGCAACCGTTATGTGTAGCGCTCTGTGTTATCATAATGTTGCACAGCATAATTATACTTTTCTTATGTAGAGAAATATTTCTCATCCCCACCAATGTTGTTTCAGTACACCAGCTGTGACATATGCGTAATGTTATTGCCATATGTGCAGTTCCCCTTCTTGTGTAACTTTGTGTAACTTTCGTTGCTGCAGGATGCAATGGATTACGTGCAGACAGATGGTTCTGCCGCCTTGAAGAAGGCCATGGAGCGTTCGGATGAGTTTGGACAGACAAGTAGTCAGATGTCTGAAATTGCTCGAGAAGCTCGAGGGTTGGCCGAGAAGTGAGTATCCATGCACCTCAGTGCCTGTGCATTGTACTCCCACCAAATGTTTGTTATGCTCGATGCTAAGTTCAGATTTCGGCTCAGATATCAACCGCCTTGACTGAGGTTTTTAATAGTTTTTCATTAACCTCTTCAGACACATTGCAGGATACCTGAGACCATAACTGATTCCTTCCAAATTCCTTCCAAATTGTTATTCATTTATCATTCATCCATTTGATGCTATATAATCTAGCTGCTGAAAGGGTCATGAAATAATCCAGTGATAAATAAATACATTATGCTACTTTGTACTATACTATTTCATTATCAGTCCATGTACTTAGAACTATGGCTGTTGTAGTAAGAGTGTATCACCAAACCAGAAGGCGCAATGTACAGGTGATTTTATTTCTGCCCTTTGGGTTAAGTGTTGGAGCATGGGAAGACATTGAGGGGCACTGGTTGTTGCTGCATTGTGTGGTGAAGATGCACAGTAACTAAGGCTCTAATATAACCAGTACCCATTTTAGTAGTGGGGGCACTATGCTACAAGCTGGAAGGTCACGTGTTCAAGTCCTGATAAGTTCATTGGATTTTTTTCAGTTGATCTAATACTTCCAGCCACACTACGGCTCTGGGGTCGACTCAGCCTGTAACAGAAATGAGTACCAGGAATCTTCCTGGGGGTAAAAGTTGGCCAGCACCTAAGGCTGACGACTCAACTGCCATCTTTGAGCCGATTGTCTAGATAGTGTGGGACCCTCGACATCTCACAACCCTGTGGGCCTCCACGGCCTGTTACAGGGATAGCTTCACTTTGTACCCATCTTAGTAGCACATGGAGATAAGAAGTTAAGCCTAGAATATTGCCTGTTGAAAGGAAAGGTGCAGAGAAGTGGTTATTAGAATCAGATGTAAATGTGAGTGTGTAAATTAACACATTCACTGTCAGACTGATCACTTAATGGGTTGAAGTTTACTGCATGCAAGTGACATGCTATTGTTACTGTGTACATAAATTTGTCATTTTCTCCCGCAGGTGTCACTCAGATGCAGAGATTCTTTAGATATCGCTTGTCTTAGTTTGAATGATTCAAAACACGTTGCAACTGTTGACTGTTTCTTATTCATTTTCTTCCATTTACATCTTGAATGTAGTAAAATCAAAATGCACTTTTCATTTTAAAGTGGTGGGCACAGCAGGTAAGTTCCTAGAATGTGGGAGTGGCAGTGAATGTGACAACACTTTGAGTTGGAAAAACTTAATTTTGCAAGCAGAAAATATTGATATGCATATATGATTCTTAAAATAAATAGATGTTATTTCTCTAAACAGTGTTAACCATTTGGTATGTATAATGGAGATGCAGTGTGTTTCCCATTGAGTTAGGAAATGACTGTTTGTAGAAGAAATTTTTGCTTCAAAGTGTTAAGGGAAAGCTGTATCCTGATAGCAGAATCAGTGGCATGAGAGAGCATATTCTCTTAATGAAGAGCTCATTGTTCTGGAATTTAACGCTGTGTAGTCCACTGAAAGTCAGCATATGTTTCAGAGGAACATGTCATGTCTTCAGGGTTAAAGAAGAGATAGCAAGAAACCAACATGAAGCAGACAGCAAGTAGAGCTCTACTCGTTTCTTTCTACTTCTTCCTTAACCTTATGACAGAGATTGTACGTTCCTTTGAAACATAAGCTGACTGTCACCAGACTATGTGGCAGTATATTCTGATTCACAGAACTGATCATAGTGACCGCTGTGAGATACTCACATCCTACATATTCAATTAATATTTTGTAACACTCGATATCTCTGTTATAGACAAGAGAAGGAAGCTGATGATATTCAGCTTGTAGCTGCTAGGGCTGTGAACACGTCAACTGCAGCATATGAACTGGCGAGGGACGCCATCAAACAGCAGCAGAACATCAGGTACTGTGGACATACATTTAGTTATTTTATGTAAAAATGTGTTGTCGCTGGTTCAAGTCCCGATGATTTCATTGGATTTTTTCAATTGACCTAACCCTTCCAGCTGCACTATGGCCCTGGGGTCAAATCAACCTCTAACAGAAATGAGTACCAGGAATTACTTAAATAATTTTCTTGGGGAGTAAAGTGCGGCAAGCGTGTAAGGCTGATAACCTTACCATCATCTTTGAGCCGATTGTCTAGAAAATGTGGGAGCCTCAACGTCTCACAACCCTATGGGCCTTCATGGTCTGTTACAGGAATAGCTTTACTTTTTTCTTTTTTTTTACTTATGTAAAAATGTGTTATTCATTGAAATATTACTTCTGAATATTTTCTCAATTATAGTATTTCATGTGAAGGGAGGTCTGTTTGATGCGGGTCATTGGACAGAAAGTCTCCAATGTGTTCTGTTTTTCCCACAGCCTTTTCTTTTTTATTTTTGCCAGCTCTTTCTGCTCTTCATGATGTCTTTCCAATATCTGGCTGCAATATGCTGTTGCTTTATGAAGTTCTGTGCCTGCAGCACTGTCTTGCAGTTCCTACTTGAAAGACTGGCAATTCTGTCATACTCCCTTGAGGGGCAGGGTGCACAAGCACATGTAATAGAAAATGTGTCCCCCAGCTTGCAGATGTCCAGTGTACTGTGTTCAGGAAAGTAGACCATAGGCTTAAGGGATTGTTACTGAATCACAAAAGAGAAGTACTAACCATGGTAACAAAATGTATTTGATAATTTTAGATAGTATAACAGTAGAACAGCAGCAAATAGTAGATGAAGGAAGGAAACCTTCCACTGGTTAGGAGAAGCCATAGCACTTGTAACCAAAATGGTTAGCTATTGAATGCAGCTATGGCTTAGCAAATAGTAACATTACAGGGATGCATAAGTCACGTACTTGACATGCAGAGTAAATGTTCTTATGTTCACAGTGTTAACACAAGACTCAAACACTGTCTTCATAAACCAATTGCTAACCTCTCATGCTTTCAGAAAAGTGCATATTATGCTGGGATCAACATTTTTATTGAATTGAATTGAATTGAATTTATTTACATTCTATAAATCCTAAGCAGGTACCTTTGGATACAGAGCAAGTCAAAAGGTTACATACATAAGTACAGGCAATTTTAGCTTAAAAATTAATATAACTTAATTTTACATCATTCTCTATTTACATTGAAGTATTCATCTAAAGAGTGGAAGGAATGAGCATGTAGATAATTCTTTAACTCTGATTTAAACTTTTTAGTATCATTGCCCAAGTTTTTAATACTTTGTGGCAGATTGTTGAACACTTTTATGCCAGTAAAGTAGACTCCTTTTTGATATACTGATAAAGTTGATGAGGGTAGGTGGAAGTTATATTTTT